CACTGGTGTTTACACCATTTAGTCTGCAGGGTTTAGCCTGGTCCCACTGGATTCTGCAGTGATTAGTCTGGTCCCACTGCTGTTTACACTGCTTTGTTTACAGCATTTAGTCTGGTCCCACTGGAGTCTGCAGCGATTAGCCTGGTCCTACAAGTGTTTACAGCATTTAGTCTGGTTTAATTGGAGTCTGCAGCATTTAGTCTGGTTTAATTGGAGTCTGCAGCATTTAGTCTGGTCCCACTGCTAAACGAGCAGGCCAGAACCAAACCAGTTTGTAAAAGCACCTTTTTCTCTCCGTCCAGACTAAAACTGTCTTTCCCTCTCCACAAGACCAACTTTTGTAAATCTGAGAGCTGAACGTTTGCCGTCTCTAACGTCTCATCGGACTGCTGGTTAACATGTAGTTAGTGTCAGATGAAGTCAGAGCAGCTGGTTGTTGTTAACCAGCTGGAGGTAGAACTTGTATCCACAGAACAGTTTCACACTCAAACAGTGTTCTAAAATACAGAAGACTGAATGTTGACATAGTTTAAGTCAAAGGGAGGAGTTAACTGGTCAAGTTAGCTGGTCAGGGAATCTGAAACTATCTCTAAGCAGTTAGTAAACTTGTCCAACTACTCTCTTGCTCCTGAACTAATAAACATTAAAGCGCGACATAAACTAGTCCCAGTGACTATCAAGGTAGCCAGTAACTTAATCCGACTCGATACCGAACTAGTCAACGTTGCTAACGAGCACTTCAAAATGGGCCTAACTAGTTAACGTGGCTTCCAAACTAGTCTGTTTGGCTATTAGAAGTGTTAAAGTGGCTAATTTAGGTGACTAGTCACACTGAGAGGTACTAGTCGAAGAGCCAACGAACAAGCTGGAGAAGTTGACCAGACCAAGTGGTTAGTAAACGAGTCTAATAAACAAAAAGGAGAATGGCCATTAAGCTGGTGCTGAACTAGTTAAAAGATTCTAACAAGCTAGTTGAGATCAGTCAAAGTACTGATCAGAGTGACTAAAAGTTGCCCCAGTGGTTAACTGGACAAGGTGGCTAGTAAACTAGTCAAGGTTGGAACTACTTATACTTCTCAGTTGCTAATAAACTAGTAATCCAAGTGTTTGGTTAACTGGTTTTAGTGGCATAAGAGGCTGGTAAACAAATGAAAGTAACCAGTCAACTAGTCCAGCTGACCGATGAAGTGGACTAAAGGACATGCCCTTAACTTAGTCATGTGTTGCATGTACTAGTTAAGTTGGTTACTAAATGGTAAATGGTAAATGGTCTGCACTTATAGAGCGCTTTCCTACCTTTGCAGCACTCAAAGCGCTTTACAGTGTTTCTCATTCACCCATTCATACACATTCATACACCAGTGGCCACAGAGCTGCCATGCAAGCTGCTGCCTGCCATTGGGAGCCATTTGGGGTTCAGTGTCTTGCCCAAGGACACTTCGGCATGAGGGGGGAACCGGGGATCGAACCGCCAACCTTATGGTCAGAGGACAGCCGCTCTACCACCTGATCCACAGCCGCCAGCAGAACTCTGGTTAACAGTTAAAGGAAATAGTTTAAGTTCGTTGCAGCCGAAGCGTTTCCAGGCTGAGTTCAGATCAGTCTGGTTATCGTTAACTACCTGGTGACCAGAACATCAGCTTTACATGATCTGACGTCCATCTAGTTTGGGTTAACCAGGACAGCTGACAACTAGTTTCTGGATTAATCCATCAAATGTAATGATGAAAAACAACCATTGTTTCTGTGTAATCAGTTGTTTAACTAGTTGCTCCAGTGTTGATTAATATTGATTTAGCTCGTCGCGCTGCTCGGCATTCTGGGTAACGTATTCTTTCAGCTCATGAACCATGAGAGTGAGTCTGGTGGTGCTTCCTGACAGAGGGCTGATGGGAAACGTAGTGTGTGGGCTGACTGGCGCTGATTACCTCGTCTGTGTGTCCGTCAGGAGCCCGTCTGTCTGCCTGTCGGTCTGATCAGACCCTGGCCCCGCCCACCATGAACCCTCTGAACCAGATGAAGGCTGGATTGGCCAACAACCCTCACAGGTAAGCTCACCTGTTCACAGCTCAGCCTCAGAGTGTTGGAAAGTTCAAGTATTCCGATTTTTCTCTGTTTTTTAGTCCTAAAATCGGACCATGAAGTTTAAAGTGTGTTATTTTTATTTCCAAACGTGCTTTCAGCCTCTGTCTCGTTGCTCCATGTGTCTTACAGCTTTAACTTATCTTTTCACCTTTTAATCATAATTTTGACTTATTTTTGACTTATTTTAATCAGAATGTCAATTTTAAATCTTTACTTTTTATTCACAATTCCTACATTCTATTTCTAATTTCATAATTCTGACTTTTTTATCTTTTTGTCATTTTACTTTTCTACTTTTTAAAATCTTATAACTGGCATTTTATTTAAACCGTATCAGTGAATCTTTATTTCACAGTTTAATTGTTATCACAGTGAACCTTCCTTCAGTTATTTATTTGTAGTTTTTCAGACACGTCTAACAGAAGCTCTGAGATTTATTGGTTTAGTTGGAACATTTAGATGTTTGTCTTGTACTTTAAACTAGAGTTTTACAGGATGAAGCTGTGCTCTGATGACAGTCTGCTCACTGAGTAACTGAGTTAAAGTGAAACCTGCTGTTGGCTTCATAGTTAGAGACTCGGCGTAGGTTCAGTTGTTGCTGATCTCTGACCAGTCAAACACCCAGACACGAGTCCAGCAGCGTCTCTGTCGCAGACAGACTCAGAGACTGTTGCAGAAGGAAACCTGAAACTGATCCTCTGAATGTCTGCAGCGACGGTTCGTATCCCTACGATCCCTCCAGCTGGCAGCAGCCGACCAATCAGCCCACAGGATCGCTCTCCGTGGTCACCACCGTGTGGGGAGTGACCAATCCCTCGGCCAGCCAGGTAGGTGTGGCTGACCAGCTGGTCAAAGTGGTTACTAAGCTAGTCATAGTGGTTAACAAACTAGTCATAGTGGTTATCAAACTAGTCATAGTGGTTAATAAACTAGTAATTGTGGTTAATAAACTAGTAATAGTAGTTATTAAACTAGTCAAAGGGCCTTCTTAAACCAGCTATTAAGGTAGTAAAAGTGGTTAATAAATGGCTAATATGTGAGATGCTAATCTGGTGATGAGTCAGACTAGCGAACTAACTAGTCTTAAGTGACCAAGCTGCCAGTCAAAGAGGCTAATAAACAAGTCAGAACTCCTAATAAATAAACTAGTCAAAGTTCCTGATGAGCTGGTCAAAGGGGCTTCAACTAGAGTGGATAGTAAACCAGTCAACCAGGCAGGTTCTAAACCGGTCAAATTACCGACTAAACCAATCCTAGTGACTTCTGAACATTCAACAAGCCTAACTGGCTGATAAGCTCCTTAACATGGCTGACAAATTAGTCAGTCAGTCTTGTAAAACAGTTAAACTAATCAGTAACTGGCACATTAATCAGATAATCTAAGCTACTAGTTAGTGATGTTTCTATTAAAGTGATTAAAGAACTAGTCAGACACACTATTAAATTAGTCCTGTGCTGATAAACTAGTAGCCCAAATGTCTGATTAATCAGTAGTCCAAGTCTCGGATTAACTAGTAGCCCAGGTGGCCGATTAACTAATCATGGTTGATACTGAACTAGTTATACTTTGTATTAGTCTGAGTGGCAACTAAACTAGTACTCCAACTGTCTGTTTATCAGCCGTCTGGGCTACGAGTTTATCAGCAGTGTCTGGTGACCTAGTCATGGTTGATCCTGAACTAGTCGAGTCTACCAGCTGCTAACCAGTTGGACTGCCTGTGTCCCTGCAGGGTCTGGGTGGAGGGGTGATGGGCCCCGGGGCCAACCCAGGCGGGGGACCCATGATGCAGGGCCCCGGCGGTCCGGGCCTGGCCGGAGGTCCTGGAGGCTACATGGGGCAGCAGGGCTACGGAGAGCCCAGCAAAGGCTACATGAACCAGGGCATGTACGGCCGGTCGACGGGGGGCTACGCTGGAGGTCCGGGGGGCTACACGGGGAGGTGGGTGTTTGTTTGTTTATTTGTTTTGTCCTCTGTTGTTTTGACATTGAGCTTCAAAAATCCCACGTATGTTGCTGAAACCTGATTTTCTGAAAAGGACTTGAAACCAAACGTCTTCGTCGAGTGTAACTGGAAAAACTGGTCGAACGTCAGATGAGCTGACTTTACTCCTGTTGTGTCCTCAGACACCTGCTGAATTTGTTGTGAACGCATGTGTGTAAACAACAACAACTACAAACATGTGGTCTGCTCTAACAGGCCGGTAGTGTCTGTTAGGACGAACAGTTTAAAGAGGTTCATCACGTCACAGGGTCCATAAGGCATTAACTCATAGTTAGTGGTTAGAGAACATCTGTGTTTAGTCCCCAACGCGAGGTTTGTTGTGTTTTTATCGCTTTACCACGACTGCTGTTGGATCTTTATCATATTTGATCATTTACTGGATTTACTGCAGCAGAAATGATGAATATTTACTACTGATAGATCCACATTCTTCCTGTGCTGACCCGGTTCTGACCCCTGTAATGTGACCTGTAGCTACCCGTCCAACCCCGGAGGCTCTAGAGGCTCCGCCGACTTCACTCAGGCTGCTGCCGCCGCCGCCGTAGCCGCTGCCGCCGCCACGGCAACTGCCACCGCCACGGCAACCGTCGCCGCCATCCAGGAGAAACAGAACCAGGAGATGAACTACGGACAGGTGAGCGGGAGACGGAGGAGGCTGCCGATTGGTCCCCCTGTGGACCGACCGGCTGAGTCAGAGCTCCCCCTGCTGGTCGTCACTGGACTCACATGGAGGGAACAGCTCTGAATCTGACACAGTCTGCTACAGGCTGAGAGGACATACAGGAGATTGTTTCCAGTCCTTTATTATCATAATTATTCATTAATTTATTTCAGAAATATCAACAAATATCTTTACATGTACACAAGGAGAGAAACTACGCGGTGCTGGTACACAGATCCAGTTCAGCCCAGTGCTCCCAGTTCATTCATTCATTCAGCACAGAATGCTGCAGAGCATCACACAGGGTCCATGGGTGATGATTTCTTCATCCTCGACTGTTTTTAACGTTAGTAGTGTATGACTGCCAGATCATGTTCAGAGACGAGCTGTTAAGTTCATCGCCGGCTGTTTTTAAAACCAGTTAATCATTGTCAGTATTTTAAGAGAAAGAAAAAAGGTCTAAATTCTCTTCTGGGTGAATGTTGTTTCTTTCCTCCTGTATGACAGTGAACTGTAGATGTTTGAAGAAAACAGGACTTTTGAGGGAACTCTGATCCACATGTTTCAACATTTTCAGACCTTTTACAGACCAAACAGCTGAAGAATCGACAGAGAAGCTGCAGTAATGCTCCTGTGAACACTCCCTCGTTAGAAACAGCCCAGAATATCCTGTTCACTTAAAACCTGCCTGTTTCAGGCAAACAAACGTCCAGTAGGTGTGGAAAAAACGGACTAATACTAATGACTGTAAAGGTCTGTCTCCTGTAAAACTGCTGGAACAAATCTGTGCAGCTTGATCTGTGTCTCGCTTGTTTACTGTTTTAATGGTATTTTTAGCTTTTATTTGTTTCCTGACAGTGACATGGAAGGGTTACAGGTTAGCTCTGAGCTCTGAACTAGTCGCACCAGAAACCTCACGGAGACGAGTCCTTGAAGTCTGATAACTGAGCGACTCGACTCCATGACCTCCAAAGCTCCTGTTTGTGCCGTGTAGAACAGCTCAGTGAAGTCAGAGGCCTTCACTGTGTTTTCTAGTCTGCTGGAGCTGAGAACCAGTAAAACCAGGAGCTTTGGTTGATCAATACATTTAACCAGAGAGAAGATAATAAAAAAAAAAGCCAATAAAATAACACTAGATGAGACACAGACCTCTCAGAATACCATAAAGCGGTAAAAAGTAATTTATTTTATTATGTAAATATAATAGCACTGGGTTTTATTTTCATAGTAAATTCTATTTTATGTCCTAATGTAGCACTTCTTAGGACTTTAGATTCTATGTGTAATCCTGACTGACTCTGCTGCTGTCTTGTTGTCCCATGAACCCGTCATGAGGACTGAGAGCTTCAAGTA